GATTTGTCAAAAAGAAGAGGATAAAACCGGGAACACAAAATAAATCTCTCATATACACGGTGAGTAATCATAGAAATATAAATTCCGGTGATATGGAATAATTAATTTAATATACATAATGTGCAATTTAATTAAGATACATACTATACTACCACTATTTCTTTTCTCCTAATATCTTATTTCCTCTCACTTAAAAGCAAAAAGTTAACCGATAACCAGCTTAATATTACGACACAACTTGTAGATAATTCAAGCAATATGCACTAATCTTAAATTCTGTATATTCGGCAGAATAAAATCATTACGTAAACAACGCAAACATTACGCAACACAGCACGATCATGGAAGCGTGCTTGCCAGCCACTTGTGCAGCTGCAACGACTAATGTTTCCACGTTCGTCTTCCTGCAATTATTACGAACGCTTCTAATTGCGCAATGCGGTTTAAGCAATAATAACAACTATCCAACGGATCGTTCGGAAGAAATCATACACAGCAACATCGAATTCGATTTTGTCATTGTAGGCGCTGGAAGCGCCGGATCTGTAATAGCCAATCGTTTAACCGAGATAGAAAACTGGAAGGTGTTACTGATCGAGGCCGGAGACGATCCTTCGCCTACCAGCGAAATCCCCGGATTGTTTCTGGAATTGCTATCGTCGCCGGAAGATTACGCCTACGATGTCGTACCCGAGAAGCTCGCTTGCCATGGCGCCAAGAACAAGCTATGCAAATGGCATAAAGGCAAGGCTCTGGGCGGCAGTTCTACGATAAACGGAATGTTCTACACTTACGGCAACGAAGAGGACTACAACGAATGGTCCCGGATGGGTAACAAAGGTTGGAGCTACGAGGAAGTTCTGCCATATTTCAAAAAATCACAACACTGCGGTCATAGTCACGATGACGAGTGGAGAAGAAAGTACTGCGGCCACAATGGGCCGTTGCATATCAGAGATTTCAATTACACCGACACAGAAATGCAAAAAATGCTTGTGGATGCTGCTCGCGAGTTGAATGTGCCTGTTTTAAAAACTATCAACGGTGATAGTTACATTGGATACGGCAAAGCTCAAGGAACTTTGGATGAAGGTCGTAGGATGAGCACGGCGAAAGCCTTCCTGTCGCCGATCAAGGACAGGAGAAATCTCTATGTGATGAAATCTACCCGAGCCGACGCAGTTCTTCTGGATGGTACTCGGGCGATCGGAGTACGTGCGACTCTGAAAGACGGCAGGTCGATTGACGTGAAAGTATCGAAGGAGGTGATTCTGTCCGCTGGCAGTATCGCCAGTCCGCAAATACTAATGCTCTCCGGCATCGGACCTAAGCAGCATCTGCTTGAAATGACAGTGCCGAGTGTAGTCGATTTACCAGTCGGTCAAAATCTTCAGGACCATATCAGTTGGCAGGGCTTATACTTGATCTACAAAAACGAAACAACAACATCGACGCTGTCATCAACGTTTATGCTGGACGAGGCATACCGATGCCTAATGCACAAACAAGGTAGTCTGGCAACTGTTCCTGGTATAGATTTTATAGGTTTCGTCAATGTAAGCGACTCGAACTTCAAGTACCCCGACATCGAGTTCGTTCATCTGCACTTTTCGCAGCATAACTCGTACATGTTAAAAACTTCAGGTTCATTTATAGACGACGAAATAATGCACGAGATAATAAAAATGCTCGATAAAATGCTTGTGGAAATAATACACCCTGTTTCTATTCTACTGAAACCAAAGAGCTCGGGTGAGCTGAGACTGCGTAGCAAGGATCCCGCGGTTCCCGTAGAGATCTACGCAAACTACTACTCCAAGGAGGAAGACATTGAGACAATGATGAAGTCCTTAGACTTCATAAAGAAAATGCTGAAGACCGAGACATTTACAAGACGAGGAGTATGGCTGCATCATTTAGATATTCCGGGTTGTCGACACACTGAACCTGACTCCGACGAATATTGGAAGTGCAATTTGCGACATATGTCCTTCCCGTATCTACATGCTGCTGGTACAAACAAAATGGGCCTTCGGGACGACCCCACGGCCGTAGTGGACGCTCGATTAAAAGTTCACGGAGTACACGGACTCAGAGTCACAGATGCGTCTATCATGCCAACGATCATTAGCGGACACACGAATGCGCCTACGATAATGATAGGGGAGAAAGGCGCGGATTTAATCAAGGAAGATTGGGCGGATACGCGTGGCAAGGACGAGCTGTAAAGGGAAATACAGCTGTTATATTTGCTAATCGTATAAAGCATATTCTTCTTCATGTTGTGACACCATAAATGACGAGCAATTTTTTGTAAAATTGTATTTTAAATAACGGGCCGAGGAAAGCAATAATATTTTATCA